AGCGCAGCGCCAGCGCCGCGCCGCGCACCTCGCAGCGGCAGGCGAGCGGCGCGCCGCACTCGTCCGGCCGCAGCGCGCAGCGCAGCCGCTCGGGCGGCAGCGCCCGCAGCTCGCGGCCATCTTCGCAGCGCGCGCCCCGCAACGGCCCGCCGCGCGCCTGCACGAGCCGCGCCGCCCAGTACAGGCCGCAGTCGCAGCGCAGCGTCGAGTCCATCTCGATCGTGGTGCTCTGATAGAACGTCCATCGACGACGACGATTTCATTATGACTTCGATTCCATATGATAAATGTAACGACCTATTAATAATAATAAATGTTATTATTAATTAGTCATAATAAAGATCGATTAAGATGAAAATAAAACGTTTAAGAACGTTTAATCACAATAACAGTTAATAATAAATACTTAAATTAAAGAAATATAAGTGTTAGTATGAAAAAATGATATTACCAAAAATTGATTAAAAATAGTTAAAAATCACTTAAAATACTCAAAAAAGGATATTTATTCAAAATATAGCAAGATACGATCACTATTATGTCCATTAAATACAATTCCATACTTAGTGATTTCTAAGGGAAGTATTATGTACCGTGCGGGGACACATTTGCATGACCGCACATATGTAAGTACAGAGGTCGATCGCGACTCTTAGTACTATGGTGAAAGTACATTGTATGAACGTCCCATACCAAGATCATATGGAAGTAAGGTCTAATGAATAAAAGTGATAATATGTGAGGGCTCAGAGAAAAAATAATAAATATATAAATATAATGAAGAGCAATGAATGACTTGGGACTTTATAAGAGATATTACTATGGAGTTGCGTGGTACTTCTGTACGACGATATGGTCTACGGTAAACGTGGAACCATGAATGGATATGTCTTCAGTGGTGGACATATCATCGATAGCTGGTGATAGTTGGCGTCTTAGTGACCATCACTTTGATACGTTGGCTGTCATTCGGCATAGTAAGAGTTTGGTGGTAGTTGGCGTCTTAGTGTGTTGCACTATGATACGTCGACTGATCATCTGACTTTGGGGAGTCTGGTGGTGGCTTGCGTCTTAGTGTATTCCACTATGATACGTTGGCTATAACTTGGCTTGGGTGGGGGTCCGTTGGTGGTTGGCGTCTTAGTGTTTACGCTATGATACGTCGACTATCATTCGGATCGTGAAAGAGTATGTTTGGACACTTCGTGTGTTCCGAGTATATTCTAAACTTTGGAGCCGAAGTTGATTGGAGTTATATTGGTGTGGTGTGAGGGTGTGCCACCTACGCGATAGTCACATTGATACGTGCGGCTATATGCAGTAATGCGTCTTGTGGTAGTTGCGGGGTGATCTGCGCCTAATATCATTGCATCGTATGATTCTGGTTGATGGAGGTTCGAGGTGATGATGCCTGCTGTGTATGCGGATAGGCTGTATGTTGGCGTGTTGACCTGCGATAGTTGTATTAATGCATGTTGCATTTAGTGACATTGCGTCTTGCGACATTTGCTTGGGAGACGACGCTATTCATAATGGCCGAGTCTGCGTCTCGGTTTGATGCACATCTCAGTAGATTTGTCCAAGTCGGGTTCCTGATGACGGAACTGCAGACTGTCTGACCTCCTGTATACGTTTTAACATAATTAACGAATCTCAGTAAAGTTCCCACCGTTCGAACGAATAATGGCAACTTGCTGGTGGGTGAGACAAACTTGATCGAAAATACACTATACTCAACGTCAGAGACACTGACAAATAAATATATGTTGCCAATTATAAACCCTTCTGATGGCTAAACATAAAAAATCACAACTATGGCTATATCTGACTATTTCATTGGTTGGTGGAGCATATGCGTTTACCTCATGTGGATGGTAGCTGGCGGGAGAAAACCTCTCAAGGTTGCGGTGATGCCGTGCAACGTTTTAACCATACCCTTGGGGTGAGCAGTGACTCATAACGCGCTCTGCGACGAAATGTCGTGCTAACTTTTTTAATGGTGGTGATGCCAAAACACTAACAATCACGTCTGCAGTCGCGGCGATCTGGCAAAAGTGGTGGCGCTTACGGAGGGCTTATTAATATCATAGGGCCAGAGTGCCTGATCTTTAACACATGCCCAAAACCGTATTGACGTAGATTCACAAAGACTGGATTTGTCGTCGGCTTGTATGACGTTACACGTATTGACATGCGTGACTTCGGTCAAAGTTTGTGCTTACGCACTGCCAAGGGGCCAAGCCCTCTTTATGCTGGTAAAACAGCTTTGCATTGGACTTCGGTCCTTTCCCCAAATTTTTTAAAAATGTGGGGGACCTGTTGACTTGTATCGGGTATGTAAAATTGATGTGAGCCCTTTTCAAGAGAGAAGGGATATACCACGACTAGTGAATATTTGTCTATCCAAGATACACCTAAAAGAATCAAGTTACTAATTAAACACAACGTAAATGAGGTCCTACCGAATATGACGATCACAAAAATATTTTATAAGGCTAATTATTACCTTTAGAAAGATCCTATAGAAAGATCAATAATTTATCCTGGTCACGTAATGATGTTATATGATTTATTGAAGTGAAACTTCTTTATCGGGATTGGAAAAAAATTTAGTGTAACATTTTTCCGTTACGCGCCATCTTTTTTTTATCTTAAAATGTTCCTCTAACGCCTTCTAGTGTTGAATAGGGGGTTTTATGTCGTCTTTATTCTTTAGTGGTTTTAATAGTTGACGCTAGATGGCGTTAGTTCCTTTGTTTGTTCATAGCAATATATATATATATATATATATATATAACATATATATATATATATATGTTATATTAAAGTGATCAGCAAAATCAAAGGGTTTATTGGGTTTATTTTAATTCTAATTCTAAAATGTAAACAATATATTTCGTATTTCAGTTACCATAAGCCATTAATAACACAAATATATAATAAAGACATCAATGATAGTAATAATTCTATTACAATTAATGAAATTCAATAATAATCTTTGTAGTAATGACAGTGCTAGCTCTAATACTTCAGAGCACGACACTGTGTCGACTTCCTCTTCTCCAAAGGCAGGCACCGCCCACCGTGACCTGACTGCGCCTTCCACCGAAGACACAATCTGAAGCTGACCGATGATGCTCTTCGAAACCTCGATCGGCTCCTGGAACTTGCGGTTGCGACGTCGATCCAACGTCCGCAAGTTCGGTTTTCCAAAAAAACTTCACTCACAACACTCGCGCGCGAATCGAATGTCTGCCTTCTACTCACTGGCTGACTATTCGGCAACGAAGGACCATGTACTAATTCAAAGCGGTTGTATTTTGGGTCCGTGAGGTTAATTGAAATAAACAAGGTTCACGTTGCAAGTTTTTTAATCAACAATTTTTGCGGACCCTCATACTAATTACAACGGTCAAACCATAGTGTGTTTTAATTTATTACTAACGCCACCTATGTATTACAAATAAGAAACTAAATTGTAGAATTTGTATGTCCATGATAATAAAAGCCTTTTATTAAACTTTATCTAATTTAACTTTATTTAACCAATTTCTGTAAAGTTGCATATAGTAAATTATTTTTTGAAAAATAACGTCATAAAAAAGTTTCATTTCTTACGAGTGTACGCTAGTACACGCACACATTTTTTTCATATAATGGGGCAGAAATATACAATTTTTATATAATTATATATGCACATAAAGGGGGGCTTCAGTTACATAAACATATTCAATTTAATTTCTTCAAACATCACTTCCTACTGCGGACATCTTTTATTTTGAACTTTGTGTTATATTGACGTGGCGAAATCATATAAAAAAATATTTTTGACAAAGTGTGGACTAAGAATTTCATAATCACAGTTTATTTTTGGTTACTTCATGTTATCTATTTTTACCGCCACATAACATACAGCGATGCTCAACAGACATTGATGAATAAATGTTGTAAGATTCGTCTTTATTGCATTAGTGTCAGGGTATTTAAATTTATAAGTTAAATATCAAAATAAATTAAAGTATTGATTATTCTTTGTAAATACTCGAAAATGTTATGCGTGTACATAAAAATAAAAATGAATTTTCAAGACATACGATGCGTGCGTGCGTGCGTGCGTTCCATCAAGTTTCATATCACAGATAAAACATATATCAGAAAAAGCGTTAGGCCGAGTGTACTTCCTTGAGGAACACCATAGCTACAAGTTGCCACATCACTAATACAGTCCATAACCTTGATTTGTTGGCTTCTATTCATTAAATAATTCTCGAACCAGGAAAGTGCGAAACCATGTATTCCTAACTGCTCCATGCGCTTTAATAGTATTTTAGGAGATATAGTGTCAAAAGCTTTTTGCAAGTCCAGAAATACGCCTATGCAACGTTTGTTGCTAGTGTTGTAAATTTTAGTGTGAAAGGGAATATTAGACTCACGTGTTCGGGCGGTTGGGCGGCGAGCGCGGCCTCGTAGTCAGAGCGGGAGAGAAGCACGCGGCGCAGCGGGTTGCCGCGCAGCAGCACGCGCGCAGTGACGTCACGCTGCCAGCGCAGCTCGGCCGCCTGCGGGAAGAGGCGGAGGTGGCAGAGGCGCAGAGGCGCAGAGGCGCAGAGGCGCAGAGGCGCAGGGCCGCGCAGGCAGTACACGCACCTCGAGCTCGGAGATGTTGTTGCGCGAGAGGTCGAGGAGGCGCAGCGCGCGCAAGTCGCGGCGCCAGTCGGTGCAGAGGCGCGTGGCGTTGGTGCGCGCCAGCCGCAGCGTGCTCAGCTCCCGCATCTGCCACAGCTGCGAGAGCGCTGCGGCATTGCAAAGTGGCGGAAGGTTAACATTGCGAATTCTCGTCCCTCGCCGAAAGCCTCGGAGATTCTTCGGTACCGTTACGGAGGTGGACGGAGTCGGTCCCCGGCTCGCAGAGGTCGCCGAGCGGGTTGCCGTCGAGCGCGAGCAGCCGCAGCGAGCGCAGCGTGAACACCGGCGCGGCGGAGAGGCGGCCGAGCCGGTTGCCGGACAGGTTGAGCTCCTGCAGGCCGCGCACCGACGCGAACAGGCCCCTGCGAACGACGGCGCCGTGCGCTAGAGTTGCCTCGCCGCCGACCGCGTTCGTCCGGCCGCCGCGTCACTCACTGGGGCAGCCGCTCGAGGCGGTTGTCGGAGAGGTCGAGCGCGAGCAGCTTGCGCGACTCGCGCAGCAGGTCGGGCGGCAGCTCGGCCAGGCCACAGCCGCCGGCCGCGAGGTGCGTCAGCTCGGGCGCGGACAGCAGCAGGTCGGCCGGCAGCGCGGCCAGCCGCAGCGCGCTCAGGGACAGAGATCGCAGCTCGGCGCAGCCGCGCAGCCACGCCGCCGGCAGCTCGGTGGCGGTGCCGCCGCGCACCACCAGCCGGCGCAGCGCCGCGCAACCGCCGCGCCGCCGCAGCGCGCGCGCCGAGAACAGCGTCGCGTTCTCGACGCCATCGGCCAGCGGCAGCGCGTCCAGCGGCGCCACGAGCGTCACCTCGCGGAGCGCCGGCGCCGCCTCCAGCTCGGGCGCAGCGGAGAGCGCGCTCTCGCGCAGCGTCAGGTGGCGGAGCGCGGGCAGCCGGCGCAGCGCCGCCGCGGGCAGCGCCGTGATGTTGGCGCCGGCGAGGCCGAGGCGGCGCAGGCCCGGCGGCAGCCGCAGCAGCTCAGCCTCATCGAGCGCCACCCGCTCGAGGCGCAGGTCGAGCAGCGCCAGCCGGGCCAACGCATCGCGCTCGAGGCGCACCGGCCCGTCGCCGCGGACGAAGAGCGCGCCCACCGCCAGGCCGCGGAAGTGGTCAGCGCGAAGCGGCGCCAACGGCCGCTGCAGCGCCAGCAGGTCGAGCGCGCTCACGTTGAGCGCAGCGAGCGCGTCCGCGTAGGAGCCGCTCGGAGGGGCGCAGCGGTCCACCTCGACGCGCTGCACGCGCATCGGCCGCTCGAAGCGCGGCAACGACTCGCTCTCCAGGGTGATGCCGTCCGGACATTTTAAGCTAAAATATCTTTCTGAATAAGCAATAGTGAGCTTCACACCTGAAACGAATAAAAATTTTATTATTATCACTCAATAAACAAAGTAAATCAATAGTAACTTAATTCCACTAAAAGACAACTTGTCATCTTCAGTCATGTTTTTGCATGTAAAAGAATCGAATAAAAATATCGATGTATCGATACTTTTTTGACTTCCCTAGTAAATCCGACTGTGAGAACCGCTTCAACTGTTTTCTCTATTCCGTGCGTGAACCCAAGCCATATACGGCCCGTCAATGATATTGGAGGTCAAAATCAAGATCGAAATAATTTTTATTGATCGACTTAAGAAACACATTGCATCTATCGATAGTCATTTTTTTAATCTATCACCGCTTCGTAATGAGGTTCCTCTAACGGAGAAAAAATAGGTAAAAGAAACTCCGGTATCCTCATTTTTTACATTTATTACTTAATAACATTAAAATATTATAAAACTGATTTTTTTTTTCTTACTTTTAGAAATAGCTTGGGAGCGATCAACTCAATGGAATGGGTTATTGTCATTAATATATTCCCTTTTTATAAAGTTTTTCTTTAATAAATTTCTTAAGCCTGTTGATAGGCTTTGCGCATTTACTGGGATTTTGTTGTAGAAGGGACAGAGACAGGTGCAACGTGGGTTTTTTAGTGGGTAGCCGTTTTTAACGGGACTCCCACATACCCCTGCCACTTCTTCCATCCAGTGGCAAGGGATCCATAAAGGATTTTTCCCACGAAAAAAAAAAAAAGGTACATATGACATCGCACCGAAACTGAGGCACATAAATTACGTCAATTGGTGTAATTAGATTGCAATTATATACTGCTATCTCTTTCCTTATCATTCGTCCTATATCATCTGTCACATTCCCTTATATATGTCATAATATATCTAGGGGAATTATTCCGCATCAACTTTTTCTGTGTCCATCATTCTGTAATGTGAGTGTAATGTTCGGTTTGCGATCCTAATTAAATAAAAAAAAAAAACAAAAAAAAAAAATAAGTCTTTACCTATGCAATTGCCATTCTTCATCACCTACTGGCCATTTCAAACAAAAAAGTTTTGTTTTTTAATTTTGTTTTAAAAACATGAATTTATTTGCACAAATTCATTCTTTTATTAATTTTTTTTTCTTTTTTTCATTCATTGTTTATTGATTAGTTTTGTATTTTCATGACATTTGATCATTTTTCATCATAATAGGATACTTAAAAAATTCGTGTAATTATTACGAGCTCGTGGGACCAACGCGGCACATAGGGCACGTAACATAAACAACGTTAATGGAGAGAACTTTACAAACAAACGCACAACTCGTTATTGGTTTGCTCTTTTCTTTTATGGAAATTATGTCTTGAAAAATGAACCTCGTGGTAGTCCGCACACTGGTAAATTGATGAATTAAAGACAATTGTGAGAGTTGATGATACTCAATCTACAGCCGAGCTAGTACCAGCTTTTGGTGTTAGCATCAAAACAATATTAGTGCATTTGCGACAAATTGGAAGGTAAAAAAGCTTGATAGATGGGTGCCCCACGAACTTAACGATATCCAGCACATGGTACGCGTCGAGACCTGCCTCGAAACCTCGGCACAGAAATGGAGGAATTTGAATCGAACCGAATTGTGACATGCCACGGAAAAGCGCTCAGTAATTTGTTTAGATAATTGTTCAGCAAAGTTGTTTAAGTATCCTTAACGACAACGCGCGACCCCATACTGCACAACAGACAGTCTCCAAGCTGCAAGAGTTGGGGTTGGAAGCCCTTAGATAGATAGATTGTCTTTATTTGTAAAAACATGGTATACATACATTGCATGCAAGATATTAAATATACATTGTCCTATCATGTCCAGGCCGTATCACGGCATACAAATTGGTTACAAGAGATGGTGCATTGACCGCAATATTGTTTATTATAAATTTTATACTATTGCCAAATACAATTACATGTCATTATTCAGACATAATAAAATTAATTACGAAATTAATAAAATTGTTACAATAAATAATGTCAATATTAAAATAACAGATGATAATTCAAACAGTTTACAATTTTTAGTACATAATATAATGCAAATTAAATTATATTTTAAAATATGAAGTAATTTTAATACTACGAAAAATTGTCTTCCTTAAAAAATTCTAAGATATTGTAGTATGCTCGATTAATTAAAAAATTCTTTAATTGTCTTTTAAGATCAAGAGTACTTAATTCTTTCCACGATTTGGGCAATTTGTTAAAAATTATCGGTGCCATGCAAAAGATGCTCTTACGCATAAAAGCAGTTCTAGCGCCATAAAGGCCTTATCCGCCATTCTTACCGTTTGTGTTCAGATTAGTGTGTTTCGTAGTTTTCGAAAAAATGTTTTTTTTTCATTTTAGAAATTAAAGACGATTTAGTCGTTTGTAAATATATTTGATACAAGATGGCAGTGATGAGATGGAAGTGAACTGCTGATTGCCATACTTAAAATAAAAACTGTTAAAATATCGATTTATCGGTTTTGGTTCTGACGTTTGGCTCCTCATATAATACACGTGGCGAAGCAAACTTAATAGCGTTTTCTGGGCTGGACGTAGCAGCTGGACTTGTTTATGCTTAACGTACGTATTGTACGCATGAGAAACTAAAAAATAATGTCCCGTGTCCTATCGTTTTTTTTATTTATAACTTTTTTAGCCTGTAGGTAACAAGATTTTTTTAGTTAGTTTAGTTAAAAAGTTCAAGCAAAATGCCTTTTTGCAAGGAAGACATTCAGTAATGACCTGTGCAGCCTTGTAAAGCCAGTTTCTTTTAGTTTTCTCAGGCAAATAGCGCAGCATTTTTGACGAGTTTTCTCATGAAATGTTTTGATACCGGAGTCATTTGGTGCACAATAGTTTGTCTTGAAATTACGGCAGACAAGGTATTTTTTTTTTTCTAAGAGCCGTGATAGCTCAGTGTCCGGGCGCTCGCCTTAATTCAATGTATACTCGAGCAACCTGAGTTCGATCCCCGGTGCCGGCACCAATGAAGTTTTTAACTTTAAAGTGCTGAATTATCACGTGCTCCGCGGTGAAGGAAAACATCGTGAGGAAACCTGCATATTTTCGGAATAATAACAAAAAAAATGTATTTAGAAAATATGTGAAGTCCGCCAATCCGCAGTGGGGCCGCGTGGTGGACTGTGCCCTGATACCCTCTGTATAGAGGAGGCCTTTGCCCAGCAGTGGGACATGTATGGGCTGTTACTTTACTTTACTTTAGGTATTTACTATTAAAAGTAGTTTGCTTTGAACCTTTTGATAATGTTCTTATGGCCATGTAGAATTTTCAGCCTATGCTTTATATGTAAATAGGGTTGCCAACTGTTATTGAGAAAAATAATCAATAAGTACACAAAAATAATCACATATACGTCAAATCACGTAGAGAAAAATGAAGTATTTGGAAGAAAAAAAGTATTTTTTAAAAAAATTATTTATTTCTTCTTTTGAAGATATTGTTACGTGTTAGGGGTTCGAAGGATTTGGAGAGAAAGACCTGCTGACTCTTTTGAAGACTTTATTTACTAGCGCTAGGTCCAACACAAAGCACTAGGTCCAAACACTAAGCACTAACGTTGTCCTATTTTGTAGCCAAGTCGTAGGTTTCACTGGTATCGCTCTTGATCACTAGTTTTCGCTCCGAAGTCGCCTCGAAGGTAACTCAAACTGAACTGTGTTCGCTCACCTCCCTGCGGCTTTTTATATGGGCCGAGACCGGTTCCGGACTAATCCAGAAAGATCATTCCTGGAACATGTTCGTGATTCCGCAAAGTTCGCGAATGTACCCGGTTTTCGAGACTATAGTTCCACAGCAGTTCCTCTAACGCCATCTAGTGTTGAATAGGGGGTTTAATGTCGTCTTTGTTCTTTAGTGGTTTTAATAGTTGACGCTAGGTGGCGTTAGTTCCTTTGTGTGTTCATAACACTACTCCCCTCTTAGAGATGCTCGTCCCGAGCATCATTGTTACTGCCATTGTAACGCGCCAGACGGTCTATGTGTACCACTTTGAATGTCCCTCTTGGTTGCTTTTTAATCCTATAAGTCACATCATTCAGTCGGGTAACCACTTTGTATGGACCGTCCCACTAATAGTACCCTGAATCACAAGGCTATTCCCGCTGCATGCGTGGGAGATAACAGTTATCGGGGCCTCCTCCGCGTCAGCCAGTACTCGCCCCTTAGTACTGGCTTTTATTAGTTTCCCTGATCCCGGGCAGGGGACGAAGCCTCTCGCTTCTTCAGCTCCGCTATTTGTTCCTCGATCCATTTCATCCTTGCCATCTGGGTCTCCTTCTGCGGGCAGTTGAGCTGCAGATGGCCCCTCTCGCCGCACTTGTAACACATAGGTCCAAAACTTTTCTTTGTAGGAGCCTTAACCTCCTTGACTTCCTCAGAGACCTCGCGGATCTTATGGGTCTGCCGTATGTCATGGCGAACAGCCTCGACCTCTAAAGCATGCGCCAGTGCTTCCTTTAGCGAGGTATGGTAACGAAGCCTCACTGCAGCTCTGACCTCCAGGTCTTTGATTCCGTCCACAAATGCTTGAACAATATTCGTGTCTACCATCTTGGTGTCGGCTCCTGGGTGTGCCTTCCTGACGAGTTTTTATATTTCCAACGCCCATTGCTGTAGTCCTTCTCCTGAGCGCTGGACTCGGTCACGCAGTTGAGCACGGAACACGTGCTCCAGGTGTCGCTCCCCGTATCTGGATTCAAGTGCCTCCATCAGGTCTTGGAACCCATTTCCTGTACGTGGCAGTGGTTACAGGACCGACAAAGCTTGCCCTCTGAGCGCAACAGTGAGAGCGGTCAGGCATTGCTCTTCCGTCCATCCGTTGGCAGTAGCAACAGTCTGGAATTGCCGACGATAAGCGTGCCAAGAAGTAGTGCCGTCGTATGGCGGCACTTTCACTTTTGGTCCTTGTGCCACTGCCGTAGTGCCACTAGACATCGCGATTCCCGTGGTTTCAAGGCGCACTACTTTCTTCTGTAGTTCGGTGAGGCCGGTTTTCACATTTTCAACATCCAATCCTAACCCGGTAACTCGTTCTTCCACTACGTCGACATCTTTTCGAAGTTTAATCACCGTGTTACTAACATCATCTATAGCCCAAAGCGTCTTTTCTTGGAGGTCTTTTTGTTGCTTTTGTGATTCTCGAATCGCTCTGATTTCAGCCTTTTGAAACTCTTGAATCGTAGTCAGCTTGCGTTCTTGTGACTCTTGCGCGGGGTCTGAGCCCAAGTGGGCGGGGCTTGTGCCCGAGTGGGCGGGGCCTGAGCCCGAGTGGGCGGGGCATGTGTCTGCATGGGCAGAGTCTGAGGGGCGTGGCCTGGTCGGTGGGGCCAGTGGGCGGGGCTTGTCCCGCAGTGGGCGGGGCTTGGTCCCCAGTGGGTGTGGCCTCCACAGCTCGTGCCCTTGTCCTGACACCCTCCTTGAAGTCCTCTCTCGGAGTCAATGGCATCTCCAAATCCCACTTCTGACACCAGTTGTTACGTGTTAGGGGTTCGAAGGATTTGGGAGAGAAAGACCTGCTGACTCTTTTGAAGACTTTATTTACTAGCGCTAGGTCCAACACAAAGCACTAGGTCCAAACACTAAGCACTAACGTTGTCCTATTTTGTAGCCAAGTCGTAGGTTTCACTGGTATCGCTCTTGATCACTAGTTTTCGCTCCTAAGTCGCCTCGAAGGTAGCTCAAACTGAACTGTGTTCGCTCGCCTCCCTGCGGCTTTTTATATGGGCCGAGACCGGTTCCGGACTAATCCAGAAAGATCATTCCTGGAACGTACCCGACACGCACGAACATGTTCGTGATTCCGGAAAGTTCGGGAATGTACCCGGTTTTCGAGACTATAGTTCCACAGCAGTTCCTCTAACGCCATCTAGTGTTGAATAGGGGGTTTTATGTCGTCTTTGTTCTTTAGTGGTTTTAATAGTTGACGCTAGATGGCGTTAGTTCCTTTGTGTGTTCATAACAATATATTTTTGTATGCTTCTAGTATTTCTGTGTGGCGCCGGCGTAAGAATAAGCCACCCCATCTCATCCCGTGGGTGTCGTAAGAGACGACTAAGGGACAAGCCACAAACATCTGGTGGACACCGATAGATGGCGGGATAACCATCTCGACTCTCCAGACCCTAAATAGCCAGGCCAATAGCGGGCAGCAGCGTTATAGGTGCAAGGAGTCTGGAGGAACTGCGGGTGCCAACCCGCTTGCCAGGCGTGGCAAATATGGCAAAACCCCCCTTCATGATGGTCGCAGAAGGGTGTAAGACAGGGTGATGTCATATCCCCGAAACTCTTCACCGCTGCGTTGGAAGATGTTTTCAAGCTTCTGGACTGCAAAGGACGAGGTATTAACATCAATGGCGAATACATCACCCACCTTCGATTTGCCGACGATATAGTCATCATGGCAGAATCGCTGGAGGACCTGGGTGCTATGCTCAAGACCTTAACAGTGTTTCCCAACAGGTGGGCCTTAAGATGAACATGGACAAGAAGATCATGTCGTCCATGTCACGCCTATACCGGTTGTTGTCGGGAGCACTGAGCTCGAAGTTGTTGACGAGTACGTTTACCTAGGACAGATAGTCCGGCTAGGTAAGTCCAACTTCAACGCAGAGGTCAATCGGCGAATCCAACTCGGATGGGCAGCGTTCGGGAAACTTCGGCAAATCTTCTCGTCGAATATACCTCAATGTTTAAAGACTAAAGTCTTCAATGTGTGTTGCCAGTGATGACCTACCGAACCGAGGCGTGGTCCTTTACCGCTGAAGCTCAAAGTCGCTCAGCGAGCTATGGAGCGGGCTATGCTCGGTATTTCTCTGCGTGATAGAGTTCGTAACGAAGACATCCGCAGTAGAACCAAGATGACCGATATAGCTCAGAGGTTTAGCAAGCTGAAGTAGCGATGGGCCGGCCATATAGCTCGTAGAACCGATAACCGTTGGGGAAGAAAGGTTCTCGAGTGGCACCCGCGTACTGGCCATCGAAGTGTAGGACGACCCCCCACTAGGTGGAGTGACGACCTGTGCATATGTGCGAAAGTCGATGGATGCAGGTGGCTCAGGATCGTACTCATGGCAGTCTATGGGGGAGGCCTATGTTCAGCAGTGGACTCAAACAGGCTGAAATGATGATGATGATGATGATGCTTCTAGTATACTCTCACAGTTTTTCACTACACATAAATTTTTGGAAGCTATCTTTGAATTCCCAATTTAAATAAAAAAGTAACTAATTTTTTCTTACAATGAAAATTTGTGAAAACATGTAGTAGCACACACAGACACAGATCCCACAAAGGATTAAAATATATCAAACAACAAATTAGCACATAACAAAAAAATGATAAATTTTCTAGAGAAAAAAATGTTTTTGTTTAATAATAAAACATAATTAACAGCAAAAGCTTCTAATTATAAAGCATACTGTTTTAACTAAGAAGTATTGATAAAAGTTTATTAATTATTCATATAGGTACATATGTTGTTTTATTTTATGCATCACAATAAATATTGAAAATAAAGTATTTTCACATACTTTATTTTTATGCAAAAGTATAAAGTATGCTTACCAAATACAAAGTAAAATACTTTATTATAAAGTATGGTTAACAACTACAAATTACATAATTTTTGAATTACATAATTTATTGACTAATTAATGCGACTGTGTTACATGCAATGCACACAGAAATTTCAGGGTTTTACTAACAAAGAGCATAAAATATACTTGTTACTTTTATGCACCTCATAATACAGCTTTACTAACCGAAAATAGCCCGGACAAGCAACATGTTAAAACATGTGCTGTTAGAGCATTTTGAGAAGGTCAACACATTAAGATATTGTCATACCATCTTTTAAATATTGGCATATAATACCCTTTTTTATATAATATCTATAACACAAAGTGTTTATGTTAGTTTTATTTGTAGTGAGGTAAGCAGGGCACAATCTTTCAATGGTTGTCAATGCGTTAGCACCATTATGTGGTGTTGTTACCGTGGGTGTTGTCCATGAACAAGAAGAATTCTCCATTCACTTATAGTTTTAGAGAAAAAAAATATTTAAAACTTGTTATACCAATATTTAACCAAATTGGCTGAATGGAACCCAGTCTCCTAAACACAGGTCATGACCTACTTAAGTAAGAACTGTTTAGTTCATAGTTTATTTAGTATTCAGTATTATGATATTTATCACTAACATGTTTATAATTTTATAAATGTCTTTTTAATACAATAAATAAATTTATTAATACATTGTTAGGCAAATTAATGGACATTGACGGGCGCATATTTCCATAAATTTTAAACAATAGAGAAAGATCACTAATGAATTAATCCACAAGCAGAGGTCTCCTGTGGCTTATAGTTTCCAAGAAAAAAAATTATTTAAAACTCATTATTTGCACTTAGAAAGTCTGCCATTTTATTAATTTGACTTCGACACAATAATAGTAAAGAAACAAATGGTTTCAAATATCAGGAATATCTTCTAGTAGTTTATTTTTGCCTAGCTTTTATGATGAAGAGAATAATTTTATGAATATTTAATATGTATATTGTTATATATAGAATATCTAAACAAATTTACATAATTATGGCAATTACCTAGAACAAAGAAAATAAGATTGTGTTTAAAATATATTTTAATTGCAATATGCACCTGTCAATATCCTTTACATTCAGCTATTGTTATTATTATAAAATTATCAATTGCACCTGTTGAATTTTGTATACCTTATTATTGATTATTTGTTAATTACATGATGTTTTTATAAAAACAAATTGGGCGAAGATTTTAAGATTATAAAACAATATGTGAGAGTAATATTTACTGTCATAGTTCTGTCATAACTCAGTACAGAATGTATTGTTTTTTAAAACAATTCAATGGTTTTTTGACAATGTATAATTACATGTTTACTTAACACTAACATACAATGATAAGGTCTTTGTACAGGAATGAACTGGTAAGTTCTAAGATTTTATAAGAACTATAAATTTCATTAAAAGTTGTTCATTTCAATGCATACCTTCAACAGTATAGAAATGTTCATCATAGGCTGAAGCGTCATAGTGGCATCGTGCTGGCGATGGTGGACACAGGGGCTTAGTAATCGTCCATGAATCAATGCCTTGCATTGCACTTAATACACTCATAATGAACCAAATACTTTGGAACATGTTGTTAATTGTTATTAATATTTATGCTATTATCCTGATATAATTATGTACATAATATCACATGTACATTTCGGTTAAACACATTATATGTATTTAAACAAATCACTTTAAATTATCAATGCAAATATCGTACGGAAATGTAATTTGTATAAAATAAATAAATATAGTTATAAACCTTGTTGACAAGTTCTTATAACTTTCCCATACAATACAAATACACTCACACAAGTACACAGTATTCACTACGGATGTCGAAAAAATATCGATATATCGACGTTTCCTGTTCTAGACGTGTCTTTTAGCACAAGTGTATGCGCCAAGGGTTCCTTTTTGACCTTTTCTTAGCTTTGTTTTATGCAATTATTTATCTTATCCTTTAAACGAGCAATTCTTGTATATATATATATATATATATATACATAATCGGAATCTCGGAAACGGCTCCAGCGATATTCATGAATTTTAGTATATGCGTAGATTCGGGGCGAAAAATCGATCTAGCTAGGTTTCATTTTCAGAAAATGTCCTTTTATCCCTGTTTTCAGGGAATGAAAAATATTATTCGAATATGACGGTAAATTTCGTTGCAAGAGAAAATTTCATAATAGCTCGGTCGGTAACCGGGCGGCTCCAAAACAGAAGGCCGTGGTTCGCGTCACCATCATTTACACATTTATTTTTTTACTTTTTTTTCGATTCCAGATCATTGCTTTCTTTATTTTTAATTTTTTGTCGATTTCTTTTTTTGTTATTTTTTTCCCTTTTTTTTTAAAGTTCTTTCCTTTGAGAAAAACATCAGTTCATATTTTCTTATTATTAAGTCGGTAAGATCGAAAAATATTATGCATATTTCATTACTCAGTAATTTGTATCTAAATGTAATTTCCAAAATACACGATTTACCAAAAAAATAAACAAACCGAGCAAAGCTCGGTCCTCCGGGTACTGTTTTTTATAAAGCTACATATATTTCATAAATGTGCTGCGATGGTAGTGGTAATCAAATATCAAGGCCTTGGAATAACAGTTTACGGGACTCATCAGGGCGAACCCCACATATATTTCTGACACAATTATTCGTGCTATTAACTAAACTACTAAAGCATAATAGGCCGAGATAGCTGTTTTTGAAGTTATACTTCTTTAGGCGCGTTATGAAAAAAATATGAGAATGAAATTTTTAGATGCGCACGCAGTACTCTAACACAAAATTAACATCTTTGAAGTAGTCCGCTAAACCACTTATTGATCATTCAGTTCCGTAGCAAAAAAAAAGAAAGAGTGATCGGTGAAAAGCAAAAGTACTCGCATCCGTCAAAACTACTCGTATCGCATTAAAAAAACATACTAATGTACGCACGTAAGAAGTTATACTTCTTTGGCATAACAAAAGAAAAACAAGTTGAATAATAAAATAAAAACAACGCGTCAAAACTCACCTTGGCAAAACAGTGAACTCAAGTTTAAATAGATATAAGATATTTATACATAAATGTTCAAAAGATCAAATTTATGAAAGCGTCATCTACATTCTTAACTGAGAACTGTAACGGGCGAATGTGAATTTTAATATGCTGCCATATAGTGGTTTAGCCTCTAAGGTGTGACTTTTGTGTTACATCTTAAAATTTCACTTTCATATTTTTTCATAATGCGCCTAAAGAAGTATAACTTCAAAATACATGTCTGTTGTATGGGAGCCTCACTTAAATGTTTTAATTCTGTTTTTTGTATTTGTTGTTATAGCGGCAACAGAAATATATCATCTGTTAAAAGTTCAACTCTCTAACTATCACGGTATACAGCCTGGTGACAGACGGACATACAGAGAGACAGACATGGGTCCCGTTTTATCCTTTGGGTACGGAACCCTAAAATAGCATTACAACTAATAACGAAACTTCAAGCATGCCGCTTGCTGATGGAATGATAATTATATTACTGCCGATAAGGTCTACCGTGCGTCATATATAAGGACAAATTCAAATTCAAAATATCTTTTTCATTTGACATTTATACAGATAAATAAAATTAAAGTTTCTGATTGTTAATCGACTTCAAAAAGAAGAAGATTATCAATTCGGATGTTTATATCATTTTATTGCATAGCTTTTATCAAGAAATTACGTAACGAAAATAAAACCTAACACCACCCATTCCGCCTACCATGTAAGAGGAAAGATTTGATTGTTTGTATGCATTGAATAGGCTCCGAAACTACAGAACCGATTTGAAAATTTCTTTCACTGTTGGGGAGCTACATTATCCCCGGATGACATAGGCTGTATTATATTTTCAAAAATCTAGGGATCCTTACTAAAACTTCAATAATGTAATCCAAAGTGTACAAAAATTACCTAAAATAGTCTTTACATCGCGTGCGCTGCGAAAACTATTGATGATAGAATAAAATAATGTACTACGAATTTGCACAACACATCATTATTTACAAAAAGTGTCACGACAGCGTATGTCTAACTATTATAGTTATGCCGCAATAAGTGTTCTTTTATTTTAAAATTTTGATTGAAATGTCGCCGCTAGAAAAGGCTCTTTATTTGTATCTTGGTATTAATCCTTATAAAAATAAATTACTTCATATTTAAGACTGTTTCAATATCTTTATATAACTTTTTGAATTATTAAATTCGGACATTCCATTCGAAAGATATTACAAGTTTAAAAATGTTAGTATAATGTAATTTAACTATCCAAACAGCTTAGTGACTGACTTGTTCTTATCGTTTTTGTAAATAATATAAATAAATTATATATTATTAATTATATTATTAAAAATATTATTATGTATTAGTATAAATATAAATATAAAAAGAAAAACAAAATGCATAAATAAAAAATAAATAAGTAATGATAATTGTTTTATTATTTATTTTCGGGTGTCATTCCGTAAATATTTGACATTTATACAGATAAGTTGAGCGCTAATCGTGTTTGTGTCCCAAGGAGGTTTGACGTGGAGGCAGGGTCGTAAAAATATAACCAAAACAGCTTAAAACGAACTAAACTTATCAAAATTAAATCACTCAAAATAAGAGCTCTAAAAAGCTTATAATAATACTAAATAATTATGACATAATCAAATCTTGAACATTTAACCTATAGGTATAACCCAATCTAACTACCGCCACCGCACCGCTAACAAAATTTAACAATTTTTGGAGCCGAAGGATGAATGAAACAACTTGTTCTTAGTTTAATTTTATTGTCTCATTATTATTTACTTTAATTAAGGGCATGATCTTCTCCGGTTTATAATAACTATTTACAGCGCTATCACAATAAATAACGAAATCGATTCGAACATTTAAAGAAATTGAGAGAAATTAATTTTACATTGTATTGCAATTGTACGTACAAGTTATTTATATAAATATACATATTTATATATGGAGTATGAACAAAAGTTTTCGAATGATTCCTTTTTTAACACGCTTTTATTGTCGTTTTATTTATCTTACTCTCATAAGTCCATAACGTCATGCAATATTTGATTGTTTGGGTGTATTTACAATTGGTTTACTTACTAGGGATCTCTGGTTAACAACACATTGAAATCTTATCGTGTTTTGTATAATGGTGTGGTAATGTACTATTCAATTCAAATTCAAAATTCAAATCTACTACGTAAATAAGTTTGTAAATTATTTGTGGAGTGATATATATTTTTGATGGACGTGTAATCGTTACTCTTTTATCTGTTGTTATATGTAATAAAAGTATTATTCTAACATGTAAATGTAATAGTCTTATATGTAAAAATTTGTACAAAATCTAGGCGCGTACGTTTCTTCTGTTGAAATGGTATGTTGTTGATGTTTAATGGATCCTAATCCTAATACCTAAGACCTAATACCTAAGGGCGCAAGGTCAAAGGCGGACGTCGTTGTCGTCGGGCAGCTCGAGCCGCCGGCGGACCCACTGAAGCATCGCCTCCTGCAATATTCACATTGCACCAATTAAGTTATATATCTTTCAAATTTTCCAGCAATGGCGACGTCCGAGTTGAAACAAGAAAACAATATATTTTATATTAAATTATTTTCATCAATTATTGGTAATATATCCTATAATAAAATGAAAATCTTATATATTTTAAATGAAAAGGAAAAAAGTAATAAATATATAGTTATAAATGTTATTCTAGAATATGTACACGTAAAAGTATAAGGTTAAGCCACGCCTGCATGCTGTTATTTAAGATTAGACTTCCAATTAGCTAAATATAGTCAACCTACCCAACCTTGTTGAGAAGCGTTCATCAACGTATGTATAACAAATATAATCCTGGAAAAATGTAAAAAAATCTACAATATTCTAAAAACAGGCATTTCAGTAAATGTGAACAAATTGAATCCTATATTAAAAGTTTTTTTATGCGTACGCTTACGTATCACGCGCGCGAGTTGTTTTTAATATTATAGAACAATTTTCCTTGTAGCGCATTAACGCCCTTCCCATCTCCTCCTCTGGCGTCGCCGTATTAGTCACAACAGGTTCATATTTTGTTAACATTTTCCTTTATCCGTGCGACGTACAATTGTAACGTGTGATTTCATCACTTTGTCGAAATTGTTGTTTTTCTAAAGACTAGGCTGCATGTCATATGAACCTTTGCCAGTTCGAAAAGACGAATATAAAAGTTAACTTCATTTGGTCGTACTTGTCATTTGAGATTGCCGCCGGTTCGAATTGACATTGGATAAATTAATTTTTGTGGATCCACTATCTTCGACTGGTAAGTAGTTACTTGGTTCAGTTCATGCCAGTGGTTGTTTTGTTTACGTATTTCGTTTTCTTATCAATTCGCTTTTTTTACAGTGCATAGCTAGAGGTTGAAATCAGAACACGTTCCTGGTCGTATTATTTGTGATTGCTGTCTGGGAAACTCTGTGCTGGATTTGTTATCCCTCGTGGTGGATGCTGAAGGCATAGGTGGCTGGCAAGCTGGTCTGAGCTGCTGCTCGATTGAATGTTGTTTTTTACCTCCAGTTGGAGGTCTCCTATATACCCCCAACAGTGTGGCTGTACACACTGCACTTGGCCTGACTTTCTCTACTGGTTCTGAGCTCAACGCTGAGCTGTGCACACAGGGCAGATGTCTCTGCGGTGACATAGATTTTAAATAACTACCTGATTGGACTTTGTTTTTTTTTTAAAATTGAATTGCATAAGTTTTACCATCTCAAATTAATTTAATTATTTGACCTTTTATGGTCGCACAAAGTAATGTGTAGGTCCTATGTACTCACGACTCCCTGAGATACTTGATTGTGATTATTACAACAGTCTGTTCCTAACAGACAAGGCGCCCCAACTTATTATTATTATTATATTACAAAATATATTGTATCTGAGCTAGTCCAGGGATTGTAACTTTAAATTGAAGGGATAAATACAAATTCTTAACCGCTAATAAATCTTTTATTAATTTAGTTTAAGATCAGCGTTTGTGCGCAATCAAGAGATTTTCAATCAGTTATATACTTATTTTATCGAACTCATCAATATGCCGATACGTATCTTCAACAACACTATTCGGAACGATGTCTAAGTGGGGCGGGGCCGGCTGCACCTGTTCAGTCGCGGTGCGCCTCGCGGCGCGCGTCGTCGGGGCCCTCGTAGTCGTGGTAGTCGCGCGGCTCCAGCTCGTCCTCGCGCGGCTCGTACTCGTCGCCGTCGCCCCCCTCGGCCCCCTCCGCCTCGCCCTCGCCCTCCCCCTCGCGCTCCCGCTCGCCCTCCTCGGAGCCCGCCCCGCCCTCCTCGCGCGCCTCCCACACCTGCCGCGCGACAACCGCTCACCGCATGCACCAGCCACTACTGCCGGAGCTGCCGCTCCGTCTACTCATAGGGCACACTTACATTGATTATTTCAAGCTGTCCCTGTACGTTAATGTGGTTTATGGTTTATTTGTTATCAAAAAAGGGTCATGCAGCACTGTTACAGCCTGTTACTGTTACTGTTAAGTCTAAAGCAACGAGCTGCCTGCCACTCGGGCTTACCTTGGCGGGGCGCCAGCCGCAGCCGGGCAGCGGCAGCCCGTCGGGCCCCAGCGGGCAGGGCGCGTCGAGGCCCGGCACCCCCTGCTCGCCGCGCTCGCCCTTGTCGCCCTTGCGGCCGCGCTTCCCGCCCGGCCCCTAATCGCACGCACAGACGCCGATGATTACTAAACATTGACGACCTACTCGTAGCTAGCTTGATGGTACGCTAGCGATATCGTCAAATGTACAGCCCTTAATAAAGACTTTAAAGTACTATATAATAAGAAAAATGTTAGTGTGTTACGGTGCTCAATATATTTACATCGAAGGGTTAACGACAGACCGGTTCGATTCAAACGTCAAGCGAGTTAGTTCAAAATATTTATGTACACATGTGTCGTCAAACTTACCGGTTCTCCTTTATAGCCTTTTTCGCCTTTCGGACCCTACAGATTGAAAACAGGACATTACTACCGGTTGTGCTCACAAATAGCTACGATAATGAAAGTACCGACCTCCTGTCCGGGGATGCCGTCGGTGCCCTGAAACAGCGAAGGGAGGGTTACTATTACGAGATGCGAAATGAGCCAGTCGCCCCAAAGGCGCGATAGAGAGCTGTATCGTCCAAGGGATAAAATGGGATGAGAGAAAGCGGTAGAGCATCGCCCACGTACTGGCAGCCCGGGGTCGCCTCGCTCGCCCTTGCCGCCCGGCTCGCCCTGCGCCCCCTGCAACACGCGGACTACTCTCATACCTACATCTCGCCCGCACTTTTCGCACGAATGTCCACGAACCGATGACACGAATAAAAACATGGCACGTGAAAAGTTGAGGTGACTAGAAAACTGATAGACATACTTAAACATACGTTTCTTTTGTAAATAAATACACATTATACATATATATACACCCAGACACTAGAAAAACACTATGCTCATCACACAATATTTTTCCAGTAGGGGGGGATTGACCCTCTGGCGCAGAAGGCAGGTACACTACCGACTACGCCATTCGGGTCGTCAAATATATATATATATATATATATAATATATATTAATTGCCTTGCCTTGCCGGGCAAAGCTCTGGTTATTATTTTTAATATAATAATATATATTAGGTGGATTGCTGACGATCCCCAAATATAGGAATGAAGAATTAGATATTTCGAGGGGAAACTGACACTCACCTTCATACCGTCGAGTCCCGGCGGGCCCTGCGAAATAACGCGCACGTCAACACAGTGATCGGGGGAAAGGGGCGCAATTATTGCATTCACTCAGTTGTCATATCAAAGGCCACATTCAAATTATTCATGTTCTATTGTCTCCAATGCGTAAGAAGCTTTTATTGGCACGTGTGCAACATTCAAACATTTTGATTGGAGTCGAAGGACGGTAGAGAGTAGAAGAGAAGGTAAAAAAGTTTACTCACGTTTGTTCAAGTCAACACATGCAGAGAGGCGGCCATTGAACTTTTCAGGAACATAAGGAACCAAGAAAAGAAAAGAAAGACCAATATGCATAGCATGCAATTATTTATTTTTCTCGAAAATAATCTGTGAACAACAATATTTAATGCTCTCATGGTATATGGTACAAATGACAACTTTTGTTTTATACAAAAACTAAACCTTAATTACAATAAATACAATACAAGATTAGTTACAGGAGAATCCGATACGAGATCGATAGAGGGAAGGAATATAAACTAGGCCGGCGCGTGACGACGCGTGGCTCTTACACCTTTAACAATCTCGTCGCTTAAATCTAGAAATCGATACAATTTTGTACATTCGCTTAGATTAAATCCCAAAAGCTATAAGTAACGACACAATTACAAAAGAGAATGAGGATTAATTACAATAGAGAACACTTAGGAGAGAAAGAGGTGGGCGGGCGTCGAGCTACAGCCCCCCACAGAGGTAGCGCGTTCCTTGGCACCCACTCCACCCGGTGTTTCTTATCTTATTCACAATCACATATCACTTTATTAAAATAGTATCTCTGGTACTTAGGAAACATTACATTCGATATTACGAGTAGTTATAAGCTAATTAATAATTGTTTTTGTTTTTGTAAATGTACTCTAAACTCGTTCCAATTGAGTTGAAGAGAGTTCCAATGGAAGAGGACAAAGAGAGAAACATCGGATTATAAGAATACAATGAAAGAACCTAATGTTTGGCAACCGTGCCCTAAAGCCCGACCGAGATCGAGGGACGAAAAGAGATATCGTGGCCCTTCGCGGTAGGAGAATGCGCAACAAATGAAGCGCAGCGGGAGAAGAAGCAAATTTACACAGCGGTGGGACGAGGGCACGGCAGCGGCACATTCGGCGAAGTGACACTTAAGGATTAGCTTACATTAGGTCGACCGCATCTCGCCAATTAGAGAAAAATATCATCTTTATACACATTTGCAACACTTATAGGCTAGTTTTGGTAACGTGGTACGTACGAAGAGCGGGGCGCGGAGGGCGCGCGGCGGGGGCGCGGCCGAGCGGCGCCCGCCTCGCCCCTACGAGCGCGCGAAGGTCGGCGGCCAGCGGTTCTCCTGCGCCACAGCGGCGGGTTAGTGTCGCGCCACACCGAGCACCGGTCCGTCTACTACGCCACCGCGCGGTTAGTTCGCTCTGTTAGTGCGCTACTCACCCGAGGGCCCGCATCGCCCGCCTCGCCCGGCAGCCCCACCGGACCCTGCGAAGTGCCACTCGCTTAGACAACGGAATTCCCATGCACACCGTCACGTAAAAAGTATGCTAACCGGAAGCCCCATCGGACCCGCATCTCCCTTTTCTCCACGTTCTCCCTAAAACGGTAAAGATGTAAGTCTGACGTGGAGCAGTTTGGTATTCGATGGCCGATGGATGGGTGCAAAGAGGTGTACCGCCTTGCCGCGCGCGCCCGGCTCGCCCTTGTCGCCCTTGATGCCGGGCGGGCCCGCCACGCCGGGCAGCCCCGGCGTCCCCGGCGCGCCCGGCGGCCCCATCATCTGCGACCGCGGCGATCGTTACTTAAAGTACGTTCGCTATGGGAAGGGATGGTCTTGAAAGGGTTAACCACATCGATGGCTTAACACTATCCTCACCAACTAAACACAAAGAGCATCGACATAGGAAGATATTAAAACTGCACAAACAGGCATTCATCCTCATTCATTTTTCTCTTTGATTCACTCAGGAATAAAAGGGGGAAATGTGTCCAGTCACTAATAAAGGAACCTGACGGAAACTAAGGATAGGACAATGGAACAGCTCTAATATGAATTATAAATAAAGATAAAAATTAAATATACAAACACCACCTACGACATTATTGTATACGACACCATACATACTGAACATAAATACTGAAATAAACACTGTACTTAGTATATTATTCTATAGTACTCAGTGTTTCTAAACAAGATTCAAGTATGGTGCATGAACAAGTTTTCGGTGCAATGAACTGGCAACTAACTTATTAAGAAGCTGAAAAATTAAGGTGGTTATTATATTTTCATTATAACTAAAATATACGATTACTCAACATTAAATAAGGAATTGGGACAACGTACCATTTCATGTCCATAGAGTTCGTAACCCGTGCCATCTCCCTGTAAATTCAATAATGGCTATAAAGATTACCGGTTCTACCAAATCCTGCTTACTTTTTTTACTTGACAACACTTAAGGTGGAATAGACAAACACAGATGTTGTGTCTGGTAAAAAGGTCAAGTCTTTGTAATAAAAATCTGAGAGGGATATTTTGTTTGCAGCATCAATTGCTTCTATAAGATTTGATGAAGCATAACGCCTTTTTCAATATGAGTAAGAAGAAAAGCGCACAATTACGATCAATGATCGTATATTAGGACAAGCAATTGATGTGCAAGCATCTACGTGTGAGGAGATAGTTACCTGCCTTCTTCTCAGCTTCCTGTACTTCTGGAGGAGGTCGCCGCAACCCAGTCAGCACATGCAACATAAACAGCGCACCTTTACTTGTGTACCGCAAATGAGTCACAACTAGTGTTCCGTACAACACATATACGCTTACTAGTAAAGGCAAAACAAAGTAATAGTTTTTCATGGAAAATTTATTCTAGACTCTGAAGCAGTCATTCAATAGCCTTCGCGCCTCTTAACGAAAGGAGCGGGAGGCGCGTGAACGGCTCACCCTAAATTTGTAACACGCTCAATAGTATCTCTTGAAGTAGTTAAATAGCGGCGTATATTGTCCCACTATTGGGCAAAGGCCTTCTTTGTACAGAGGGTTTTATAACATATGTACCACGTGACCCCTCCGCGGACGCAGATTCAAATTCCGCAGCAAAGAAAAGGTTTCGTTTTCATCCATTTATCTAAAAACGTCACATTTTAGGATTCAACATATCCTTGATTTATATTTTTATTCAATTATAATTTCTAAAATATGTTGGTCTTCACCGCAGAGTTCGTGATAAGTCGGCACTTTAAATATTTAACAACTTCATCGATGTCGGTAGCGGGATTTTAACTCAGGTAGTTCGAGTGTCTTTGTCTTTCTCCTGCCCTAATCCCACGTATGTGGCGTCGGCACATGTGTATCATGATGTTGATGCTTTTTAGGATTCCGTACCCAAAGGGTCTGTCTGTCTGTCCGTCTGTCGCAACGTTGTATCACATGATAGTTGACAGTTGAAATTTTTTCAGATGATGTATTTCTGTTGCCACTATAACAACAAAAAATAAAAACAAAATGAAATAAAAAATATTTAAGGAGGCTCCCATGCTAGGAAACCTATAGGTACTTACCAATTAGTCTATTATAGATAATCGTACGGAACCCTTCGTGCGCGAGTCTAACCTCTGCCAAATAAATACGGCTGCCCGACAAACATTTGTAGAATTTTGATAAAGATCAGGTCAGTTTTTTACTCATTCAATGTTCATTGTCTCTTAATAACACTATCCTTTGAGAAGCAGTGAACATCAGACACAGCAGGAGCTCGGTAATAGGCACTGACCGAGTCGCCCTTGTCGCCCTTGTCGCCCTTGAGGCCCGGGTAGCCCGGCGGCCCGGGCAGCCCCGGCGCGCCCAGCATGCCCGGCGAGCCCATGTCGCCGTAATCGCCCTTGTCCCCCTTCGGCCCCATCTCGCCCTGAAGTTCAAACACGCCATCACCGCAAGATCCATCACTCACAGGTGTAGGTGTCTTTCTAGTCTATCTAGGAGTTCCGTGAAGCGGGGAGGATGGTACTTTCAAAAAGTTTAATAATCATAATGCATGCTGTGAAACAGCAGTCCGCCGCGTTCGGTCAACAATGGGAAGAATGTATGAGGTACCGGCTTGCCAGGAGGGCCCGGGAGGCCCGTGTCGCCGGCGCGGCCGTCCGTGCCGGGCGGCCCGCGCGGCCCCGCCGCCCCCACCGGCCCCGCCGCCCCCGCCGGCCCCGTCGCCCCTGCAACGGCCGCATTTACACACCGACCTCTGACCTTGGGCTTCACTCATCTTTTACTTATGTACTACCGTCGATACTATAATATACAGTGTTAAGAAATGAATTATATCGAAACTTCTACACAATTTTTTTACGTAGTTTTTTAAATTCTTCTACGACCGATACTTATACAATATACGGGCAAAAAAAACTGACTCAAGCGTCACGAACGATATCGAATGTCTTTAAAAAAAAGGCAGATAACCTGATTCCAAAAATGTCAGTTAAAGCCCTAAGTTGACAACAGCTCATAAAGCAGAAGGACTACGTTTCGCAAGAAAACACACGTGTACTGGATGGAAGAACAACGGAGTCCTGTTCTCTACCCAGAAGAAAACAGAGTACATCTCCATGGTGATTCGATGGAGAGAGTTTCCTGAGTGGTGTGCCCATTTCGATTGAGCCAAAAATTTAGTTAGCTTGCATCGAAATTATCGGCAGACAATCCTTGCGCAGACTTCATCTGCAAAAATTTTATGCTAGTGCTAGGGGATGGCTGTCCACACACTGCAGATTCTATTCTGTGGTTCAAATTAAGTCCACGGAGTGGTCAGCGCGTAGATCTCACTTAAATGCTTTTAAGAATTTATGGGATCTTAAAAGAAAAGTTTTGGTGCAATATAGAAAAACGATTTTGTAGAAAAAACTTTTATAATAAACAAAGACTAATTCATTAAAATATCTTATTTTAAAGCCCAAATCTTCACCTTTTATCAAAAAAAATAAATCTGAATCTTTTTACGGTGTAGGCAAATGTACGGCTTGATTCGATTTTTTTGCTCACTAGTGGGTTTATCACCCATCTATAAAAGTAATTTATAGTGAATAACTGCCACCTTCACACTTCATACTAAAACTTATACTTAGTAATTAAAATATGTAGAAAAAGTGCGAAAAGATTGTCGCCGTTGTGGGAATCGAACCCACGTCTTCGGCATTCGCGGCCTGACGCTCTAGCCACTGAGCTAAACGTGACAGCCGTTTAGCTCAGTGGCTAGAGCGTCAGGCCGCGAATGCCGAAGACGTGGGTTCGATTCCCACAACGGCGACAATCTTTTCGCACTTTTTCTACATATTTTAATGTTCAATCTTAAGTGCAAAGATTAGCACTATAAACAATTTAAATTTATACTTAGTAATGTATATTGCGTTACTATTTGACAAAATGGGAAATGATGACAAAGTCGTAAATTATTTTAAAAAGCAATAAATAGCTGGTATTTGTTTACCTGCGCCGGGTCAAAGTGAAGCAGCGTCACCTCGCCGCCCTGAGGAGTTGCCGTGCGTCGCGCGATTAGCGTAGCAGTTAAATCATTACCGCGAAACTATCGCATTAGTTGCCATTTGTACCGCTACCCCTTACACAAAACGATTAATCTGCGCTTAAGAAATACGCAGCCATGCACATGCTGAAGCAACAGTGCTCCTCGTAGATGCGCAAGCGGTACCTGTGATATGACGTGCTCAACAAGCGACTCGTTTGCATATGCAAGCAGTGCGATGTGAATAGGACGAAAATGGAAAGCTATAGAAATAATTTAGAAACTAGAAACTTCGTGTTCATGGACAGAGAACTAAAGAATCTGAAGAATTATCCATCTTCCAACATCTGCATGAAAGAGTAACTGATATATCAATATTTTCTTGTTACGAAGTGTGAAAACAACTTTTTGCTAGGTTCAGGATTCACTAAAGCTCAAGTGTACGAGTATAATGTTGAACGGAAGGAGGGATACGTGCAAGGGAGACGGGCGATTCAGCCGAGTCAGAATGTAGACTGTAGTGGTGGGTGCAGGCGTACCCTCTTGCCGCGCTTGCCGCGCGCTCCGCGCTCGCCTTGGGGGCCGGGCGGGCCGGACGCGCCGCGCTCCCCGCGCGCCCCCTCAGCGCCTTCAACACAGCGCCGCCGCTCAGAATGCGCACACGCACCACCACGCACCACCACACACCACCACGCACCACCACACACAATGTACACACACACAGACACACAGACACACACGTCAGGAAACTACCGAATGAAATATATTCTTCGCGATTTTAACTACAGCACTACAATCAAGTCTACCCAGCATCCAAAGTTATTCTAACTATTTAACGCAATTTCGGCGACGAATTGCGTTAATATAACTAAAGCAGCATAGGAACGAGTGATATAAGAAAAATCGCAAGTTGGCATTGATGATGCTAATATCGTAACATCGTTAATAGTGAAAAACCAATGAATATCAATCGTCCCTAGTGCATGTTTCAACTTGTTTTATTACGAAGCATCAATTGTCGAGGGTCCAAGTCTATGTGCTAGCGGTGCGTGTAAGCTAATGCCCGTGAACGGTTAGGGCGAAGCGATGTCAGTGCCGATGGCCGACTCACCGGGTGGGCCGGGGGGTCCCGGGGGGCCTTCGATGATGCCGGTGGGGAATGCGTCGCCCTTCAACGTCGTGGTGTAGCCACGCTCGCCCTTGTCGCCTTTGTCGCCCTACCCGGGTCCACATGAAATACACAAACATATAAATCACTTTGGGAATCGCATATTTACTTACATAATATATATCGCCATGATAATAACTTGAAGAAATTAACTAAATGAAGTTATCGCCGTTTAATTTTCTTCTAAACATCAGATTTTTCAAATACTTTAGCTATTTTTGTTAAAATTTATTCTTTCCTGTAAATGTAAGAGGGCAGAATTTTTTGGTTACGCTTAAATCACAGTCTGAAACTTCTTATTTCCGTAGCAGTTTACAAAACTAGTTGTATAATGAGTATTATTGTTGCGAATATGTCACCTTGTGGCCCGTGGTGCCCTGTGGGCCCGGCGGCCCCTGCGGGCCGGGGTCGCCGTGGGCGCCCTGGGGCCCCGGCGGGCCGGGCGCCCCCGGCGGGCCCGCGCGTCCCTCGCCGCCCGCCGCGCCGGCCACGCCAGCCGCGCCGGGCGGCCCGGGAGGCCCTGGCTCACCCGGCTCACCCTGTAGTATCAACATCCCGTTTTCTACCTCGTTGTCATATTTAAATGTGATCGTTGTACAGTAGCTTAATAAGCTTTGTAAGTGAGGTTTGCTGTTTAGTTTGGTCCGACAGGTGCTAAGAAAGTTAGAAGAAGTCATACTTGCTTTAGAGAAAAAAAACTATGACGTAGGCGTAAAGTAGAGGTAGTAAATATATATTCAAACTCAAACATTAATAGCGGTATTGGTAACTGACTTGTTTAACTCATCTCCAAACATCATAAAAATATTTTAAAATTAAAACGGACTGAAGTGCGACTGTTCAGCGCTTTTTTAGGCCTGAAATAGAAAGCCAATACTTATTGGCCGAAATTGTAGTAAATATGTGCTGATGTTCCATGCAATTACTAAAAGGTTATGAATGAGATTTATTGGTTATTTTTCGATTATAAGTAAGAGATATGTCGAATAACAAGAATAGAGATTAAGAGTTTGTGTAAAATTCATAAGTTGGTCAACAAATTAGGTACGCATATTTAAAAATTAACTCAGAATGCTTGATGTGAGTGACAGTGACCGGGTGATCAGTTTTAATTGAATATATTCGAACAACCTGAGTTCAAATCCCGGTGCCCGCACCAAATCATTAAATCTTGGTGCCGGTGAAGGAGAATATTGTGAGAAACCCTGGATATTATCGAAATATTAACAAAAAAATAGTATTAATCTTATGAGTAAAATTAATACTCATGAAAAGAATAAAATTTTAAACGTAAATTGGAAAGAGACGGTGAATTAAGCGCTTGAGAGAGGCAGGAAACACTATTGTTAAGCTTAAACTACGAATCCATGGATAGAAGAGATACGTACGTCCTAGAGGTCCGGGCAACATTGGGACTCACCTTAAGCTGTATGATGGACTGGGCGGAGATGTTGTGGCCGGCTGCCTGCAGGCCCTACAGAGTCACACTGCGTCAATACTCGTGCACACACACGGACAAACGATACAAGCGGACAAAAACAATATATGTACTTTTAATATTGGTTGCGTGTAAGTAAAACAAAACAAAATTCATCTCTCTCTCTCATATCTAAAAGCTTTTGCTCTACTTCAAAAGTCAACAATAGCACGCTTGGCTACAAAGCCTCGACTGCTCCGCATGAACCAAATGTACCTGAACACGAACTCTGATGTGGAAATTGCAAAGAAATTAAAGCGATGCGATAATTACTTTAAGTTACGATGTTCACGAATGCATTTAAAAAAAAACAAATAAATAAACAAAGAACGCCGAAAACTGGCACGAAAAGCAACACACTGCACTAGGGGGCGCTCGGTAGCGGTACCTTAACGGCCACGATCTCTGCGGTGGTATACCGACTCATCTTAAAGTTGTCCACCGATCTCTTCACGCCCTGTAACCGCCGCAACACATATCAATAATTTATTAAGCTCTTGTCCGGCTCGGATGTTAAAGTCTAATACTTCTAGTCCAAATTTTCGATTCACGGACGTACTTCGTAATAATTGCTTTTTAACATTATTCCATCGCAACATTTTATCAATTTAAACATTTTTCCATAACATAGAATCGTTATCGTTCTTTTGTAAATATTTGATTTTTGATTTTTTTAAAACTTCTGTATGCAGACCCACCTTCACTGCTGCAAATACGTCGAAGCCAGGACTGCCCAGTTCGCCTTTTTGACCTTTGTCACCCGGCCGACCCTGAAAAAGTTTTCGTGATTCTGAAACCACCGGTACACATGGTACCGTGATGGCCTCGATTGTGTCTGTATGTTTACTATTTACCCACCCATGAACATCTACAACACCCGTGGAGGTGGAAATGCATTGTCAAATTTAATATTCATTTACGTCGGCTTCCTGGTTGGTGGTGGTAGTACTTCCCAGATAAGCTTACCCATTCGTGGAGAAGCTGTTGCGTAGTCTAATACTATTTATGGTATTGTTTTTCATATGTACCAAATAAATGTTTCATTCATTCTTTCTTTCTAGTTCTACTAGAGTAGCTTATGCTATGTTCAAAATACTTTATATTGTCTAATGTGGACCAAAATGAAATAAATAACATCCGTTATTCAGTCATTTATATTGTTGAGGCGCTATAAGCAGTGTACTGTATCGTACGAAAGATATAGGTACACAGATGTTCTATATATCTTTTATAAGATCATACTATATAAAAACAATCAACAATTTTAAAACAAATAAATCATCATCCTATTAATATGTTAAAATTAATTAAAAATACATCATGAAATGAAGTGTCAACAAGTTGTTATTAGTTGCCATGGTAACACTGTGAAGTTAGTCGAAGTTGATCCCTTTACCAACTACATTATGTCGCTTTTTGGAAGTCGATGTGTAAAAATTTTACTCTCATAATTTGCAGACTTGACGTTTCAGCTGATTGTTAAGTGATAACTGCCGCCCTTGGACATTTGCAGCACCCGTGGGGTTGCAGATGCCACCTTTTCATAAAGTGGGCCCCGATAACCTCACTTACCAGACGAATCGCAGAAATATGACTCCTACTTAAGGACCGGTCTTCTGTGAGGTCGTGGTACTGCCCTGGATGGACCTGCCCATTCGTGCAACAGTGAACAATGTTGCGTGACCCCACCACAGTTAAGTAGATGCTTTCGACTTCAAATAAATATAAAACATCAAATTAAAATAGTTACAAATATCTTACTTCAATCGACATGAAATCAACAGCCGCGTATATTAAAATATTTTACATCACTGATATTAATTTTATTAAGATTTGTTTATAAATAATGTAATTTTTTTTTAATTTACCGAGAACATGTTTTGAAAGCAATGGTCCATTAAGATTTTGATTATCTTTCTCTGTGATAACTTGTTGTTTTCTCTTTGAGAGATTCTTTTGCATTCACAAATTTAATTAGTAATGGAAGTTTCAACTTACTGGATCTCCTTTAGGCCCGTCCAGTCCGATTGGCCCCTGTAATGATTTATGACAAGAACAGTTATTGTATGGAAATTAACCATATGTTTTGGAACGATTTTTAATAATTATCATAGGTTAGTGGTTAGTCAAATTAGATGTTGAGAAAATGGTTACGTTTTATAAATAAAGAGTTATACTTAGGAATGAAGAATATTAAATAGCAGTTTGATTTCAAATTAGTTTGGATCGAGAATTAATTCTACAACATTAGTAAACTCGATGAATCCTACAAAGCAGCGACAAAAATCCGTTAGTTTGTTATTTTACTAAAAACTGCTACTTCTTACGGTTTGTAAAAATAAGAGCAATATTTCTATAATGACTAATGTCTTCTTACAGATTCGTTCATGACCTGATGAAGGAATCTCTTATTTAATTGCTATTTATTTTTTAATAATCAATTCCGGAAAATGTAGCGGCAACATTTGATTGCAGATTGCAGTTAGTATTGTTGGGGCATAGGGTCCGGTTAGGCGGCGAGCGGGAGTTAGCTACGGGTCGCTACGGGGCGCTACAGGCCTCTACGGGAGGGCTCTTACCATGAAGCCTCGCTCGCCCTTCTCCCCCTTGCTCCCCTGAAACGTCACAGGGTCGTACAATAGCCATCGGGACGCTCACAGCCGCACGAATCGGCGAAACACTTTCATATAACAGCCTTTAACAACTCTAGCTTTCTACTTACGAAAGACTGAGCATAAAGAAGGCGAGGGTGAGAGGTGTACATTATTTTATCTAATCAATAGGGCATATTGCAGTTGCTGTTTCAATGAAAAATTCTCTCAATAATATAATAGCCGAGGTGCAGTTATGTAATTGTAATGGGTAAAGAGAAAAGAATATCATTAAATGAAAATAGAAAGAAAAAGATAGAGAAAATAAAAATAAAAGCAAAGTTAATACCGGAAATCCGTTCTTGCCTGGTGCACCCATTAACCCCTGCAAAAGATAAATAAAAATAAACCAAAAAAGATAAAAGGACCTATGCTCCTTGCTTGAGGTGCCTTTAAGAGGAATCTATAATGCACTCTTCTATTGGGCGGTCTTCCGTTTGTAATATTTGTATATTGATAGTCTAGCGGAGAGCTACGCACTCACCGGGGGGCCTGGTTCGCCGGGGTCGCCTTTCTTGCCCTTCTTGCCGCGTTTGCCTGGAGGCCCGGGGGGACCTGGAATCGATACAAGTCCTCAATCATACATATGTCCTGATAATATTATCTCACTGAGAACATTTACTTATTTTATTCCCGTCTCAAATGTGTCCTTTTGCGTAACTAAAAAAAGGAAGAGTAACTATACATATAGAAAGGATTCTTTGAAACATTTTTCATCCGGTAATCGTAGTAATTGAGCTTGGTCACCCCAAGGTTATGGGTGCTGATGATGCGCTAATTTATTAAATGTAAATTATAAATTGCGTGCAATTTGTTAATATATGTACATTAACAAATTGTTTCAAAAATTAAGCGAAATTATTAATAAGAACTTTCATTACTTTCTATTGAAAACAACTCGTTTAATTTGATACCCAAATATTTGGTGGTTTATAATTATTATTTTACATTACCTATGGTTAATATGGAAATTATAAATCACCATTTAGCGGCTGTCGCCATATTGGATTAAAAATGGCAGCATTTTGATAATCATGTAGTGTCTTTATAGACAACGGGACAGGTAAAAGCTAAATAAAAGTTTGTAAAGTAAGTTCCCTATGTGTATTTGAGGTCCTTTATAGTTATTAACTGAAGTATCTATCTTCTTGCGGGTACAAGTTAAAGCAATACCAAATACGCATTACACTGCGCGAGCGCTCTTCTAGACTTTTAGGTAACTCAAGACCTTCTTTTGTTTGCTACATTCCGACAGTCAAGGCTTTATTAGAGGTAAAGTTAGACGATGGAACTGAAAAATCACTGTAGTTGTTAGTAAATTCTGTGAGGTTTCACAATGTGAGGTGATGGGCAATCATGTTTAAACCATCTACATATTGTTACAACAAGTTAAAATTGTGTTGGTATCTGTACTGTTGGTTTATTTTTTATAAATAAATAAAAAAATATTAATTGATAATATATCACAAAGATGACTAAAAGGTTCACAAGTGATCATTTTCTGGTGATTTTTAGATTGATCCAAATCAGTCCAGCCGTTTCAGAGATTAGCCGGAACAAATAGACAGAAAGACAAAAATTGTAAAAAAAATATTTTGGTATATGTACCGTGTATACATTCATATGCATTTAATAAGAAACGGTTATTTTAATATTACAAACATACACTCCAACTTTATTTATCTGTATGTATAGATGATCGTAAAGCATAACTCGTAGTTGGAACTTTTATGACATACTCTCATTCGTGATAAATGTCCATTGGTATTATATCATCATCATCATTTCAGCCCGTCTGGGTCCACCGCTGAACGTAGGCCTCCCCCACAGACTGCCACGAAGCACGATCCCGAGCCACCTGCATCCATCGACTTCTCGCACATTTGCACGGGTCGTCACTCCATCTAGTGGGGCGTCGTCCCACACTACGATGGGCAGTTCCAGGCTGCCACTCGAGAACTTTTCTTTCCCAGCGGTTATTGGTTCTACGAGCTATATAGACGGCCCATCGCCACTTCAGCTTGCTAACCTTCTGAGCTATGTCGGATGTTCTACTGCGGATGTCTTCGTTGCGAACTTTATCACGCAGAGAAATACCGAGCATAGCCCGCTCCATAACTCGCTGAGCGACTTTGAGCTTCCTCATACGGCCAGCAGTGAAGGGGGTCTCAGTTCCGTATGTCATCACTAGCAACATACATTGGTTGAAGACTTTAGTCTTCAAACATTGAGGTATATTCGATGAGAAGATTTGCCGAAGCTTCTCGAACGCTGCCCATCCGAGTTGGATGCGCCGATTGACCTCTGCCTCGAAGTTGGACTTACCTAGACCGTTACCGGACTAACTGTCCTAGGTTTACGTACTCGTCAACAACGGTAATAAAAATAAATAAACATAATTCTGGTATTATATATCACCATTTAAATTGCGTGTATGTAATACTTAATTTAAACCTTAGATAACCCTATATAGTGTGCTATTTCAGTGTTTTATATGCGAGAAAACAACAGTGAAAGGGCGTGTCCTGGCCGCCAGTCGCACTCAACATCCCACCCGTCTCATCGGCGGATGCGCAATTCTCTATAAATAGTTTTCACCCATCTTTTTTCTTCAATACGATTTTATAGTAGTTTAATACGTAAATAAAGTTTTAAACAGTTTCTAAATTCAGTAAGCACCACGATTTTTTTCTTGTTTTAATGTTAAACAGCGACCCAATAAGTGCTGAAGTGTATAATAAAGCACCATTGACTCGGAAAAGATCTGAATATCATATAATACTTTTTGTGTGTTTGCCTGGTGAGTTGGGTAACTGTGGGTTCATCCTTTAAAGGTTGGCACCTTCCTAGGAAATGCTAATCGAAGGAATCTGCTCGATCACCATCGCCTAAAAAAATTTACAATATTTCAAATGTGTATAATAGCTGAGCAAATGTTGGTGCAATATTAACTTATGAAAGCATTTAACAATGTATAGATCTAAAATTTATCAATTCATTAATAAGTCTATAATAATCATTTATATAAATATAAAATTCCAAGAACGTTCTACGCCAGTCTGTCTGTGGCTCGCGTGATGAGGTGTCCAAGTGTTGTCATTACATATTCTGAAAATGAATGCGTCTGTATTGTTACAACAGTGCAAGCCTGCTGTCAGCAATAAGTAGGCTCGTTATCTCCACGGCTCATTGGTCAGTTAGGTTTACCTAAGTTTAAATGAAGTTGATCTTACTTGAAGGAAAGAAAAAACTTACTAATCATTAATAATAATAATAATAATAATAAAATATCTTTATTCACATAGACGCTTGCGCGTTCTTATGAAACGTCAAAATTTTACAAGAAATGAACACGTTCGTAAGTTACCACCGGTTCGGAAAGCAGTTTCTGTTGAGAAGAAACCGGCAAGAAACTCAACAGTTGCTCTTTTTTAAAAAAAATCAGTTTACAATATAATAGTACATGTACAATAGTCTTGTTTTAGCCTACGTGAGTATCAACAGTATTAACCCCACACATTGGCGTCGTCAAGATATTCAGCAATAGAATAATAGGCTTTTAGCCATAAGTTTACTTTTAATTTTTCGTTTAAATTCATCAAGTGGCAGACTTAATATCGACTGTGGGATTTTATTATACATGCGCACACCTTGCCCCATGAACGACCTGTTTACTTTTTGTAAACGAAACAATAGCGTAATTAGTTTGTCCTTATTTCTAGTATTTAGTTTATGTCTGTCACTATTCTTTAGATAACTATTAATATTATTTTTAACATACAAAATATTACAATAAATATATTGAGACGCAACAGTGAGTATATTAATCTCTTTAAAAAGGTCTCTGAGTGTATTCCGGGCTCCGATGTTATAGATTGCTCGGACAGCTCTTTTTTGAAGAATAAATATAGAATTTATATCAGATGCACTACCCCACAACAAAATGCCGTAAGACAAGATGCTGTGGAAATAACTGAAATAAACAAGTCTGGCAGTGTCCATGTCTGATAGCTGCCTAACCTTCCTAACTGCAAAAACAGCGGAGCTTAACCTGTTCGCAAGAGATGATAGATGGGGACTCCATTGGAGCTTTGAATCCACTGTAATTCCCAAGAATACAGCGGACTCAACAGGATTAAGGGTTACGCTATTTAATGTTAAGCTAAAACTTCGCCTTCTTACGCTGGGAAGGGTAAAAAGAAGGCATTTAGTTTTTTTAGCATTTAACACCATATTATTAACGGTAAACCAGTGGAGGATACGCGAAAGTGCACTATTCACGTCGTCATAATGCGACACGTTTCGGTCAACCTTAAAAATGAGCGATGTGTCGTCAGCAAACAGTACAATATCACATAACTCACTGGCATAAAAGGGGAGATCATTTATATACACTAAGAATAATAATGGACCCAAGATTGATCCTTGTGGGACACCCATTTTCATGGGGGACCCTGTGGAATTTACATCATTAAAAATTATTTTACGATTTTTGCCAGTAAAAACTCGGGAACATCCTGCGTTCTTAGTTATTCTTAGTCACACATGTTGCCCATTTTGAGTAAAGACAAATATAAGCAAGTTAAACGGAAATATTAGTATATATATTATTATGTAAGACGACATAAGGGCATCGATGCAGCGTAAGTTCCAAGACCCAAATCAATATCGTAGCTCATTTACTTAAAAATTTGCGTCACGATTCATAAAAAAGTAAATAAAACTCGTGCCAAAATAGATATGAGCGATTCCAGAAGAGGCCCCCGGTGAGACTTGGACCACCTCATTAAGCAGCCATTACCACTTCCCCGAGACCCTGTAATCGAGTTAATCCGCCGCGGAGGGTTGAGATATGGCCTCGCGGCCCGAAGCGGCAACGATTGCTTGCAAATTGAGTTAGTCCCCTTTCAAGCGCCATTTCGCTTCAAACTCCAGAAAGTAATCTCGTTCTTTTCGAGGGCCTACCGACGCGCCTAATGAAAATATTGTGTTTGGGGTCCACGTTCGTTCAGCTACACGACGCGTTTGTGTTTCAACGAAATTTGCGCTAAGCTGTGTGGATGCTCTACTTTTCGCTGTGATTATAATACTAGCGACCCTCCCCGGCTTATAGTATACATATGAACCTTCCTCTCGAATCACTCTATCTAGTAGAAAACCCGCTTCAAGAACCGCTGCGTAGTTTTAAAGATCTAAGACTACTTTGTTTTATACTATGTAGTGATAATTATTCAAAAGTAAGAAAAAACGTACAGAAGTTAGCTTGACATTCGTTTGATTTAAAAACGCCAAAAGGATTGCAGGTGGGTTTTCAGCCACATTAGGCTGCACCTCCAGCTACTTAAATCACCGGACGGAAGGCGATAAAGTACTCCTACTTCGTGACGGTTAAAGGTTCTGAAGCGCGTTGTCTTTCCTTCAGTTTTCAGGTTCTTTTGATGTGCCACACCTATTGGCGCATGACAGCAAAATCGGCTGGTTTGCCGTCATGGCAAACGGCATGACGCTTTGATGCCATCATGCTCCCGCCGCGCCGCCGCTTAAGACTCCCTCCTATGTGTGTATAAGCTAGGTATAATTTTTATCGGATTATAGTAATAACACGTTTACTCTTCATATAAACGTTATTATATTTTCTTTATTGAGATAGAATGTTATTAAGTTTAAAGTAATTAAATAGAATAGAATCAGTAATGCTATTATTATTATTATTAATAAAAATATGAATGACAGTGACGATCACGTGAACAAAAAATAAATTATTTTAAATTAATTTCAAATTATTAAAAATTTTAACTTTCTTGCTATTTCTTAATCTATAGATTTATTTCAGTAACGAAATTATACTATTGATTTTATTCCATATTTCCTCTACTAATTATAAGTTCTTATATTAACTTAAATGTTTCACATCTGACGGGCGTCCCGTGACTAATTTTTTTCATGGTATTTCTTTCTTCTTTCTTTATTGATTCCCAAATACAGCCTTCGTAGCTGCGGCGTACAGACTATTGGCTAAAGACCAAAACTATACGTAATGTATGTATTCATTGCTGTTGTAACGTTTCTATATTGGATGGTGTAGTTAATGATGGGGAGATTTAATAAAAGATTTATTAGCGGTTAAGAATTTGTATTTATCCCTTCAATTTAAAGTTACAATCCCTGGACTAGCTCAGATACAATATATTTTATAATATAATAATAATAATAAGTTGGGCGCCTTGTCTGTTAGGAACAGACTGTTGTAATAATCACAATTAAGTATCTCAGGGAGTCGCGAGTACATAGGACCTACACATTACTTTGTGCGACCATAAAAGGTTAAATAAATTAAATTAATTTGAGATGGTAAAACTTATGCAATTCAATTTACATTGTGGGACTACAATCTGATCTTTATTTTTAGTTCTCCCCTAATATTTATAACGTAGTTATGTGCAGTTTGTGACTGGGACATCGAATTTCTAATATCTTCGCCTCAGAGTCCTCGGAGCCCCTGGAGACAAAGCGGCCCTCTTCGTTCTATCGAGGAATGAGGGCGAGCGGAAAATAAAACATGCTAATGGTACAAGTTGCGCTGTTACGGGCGCTAAACTGTTGTTTGTCGCCGCTTATTTCGTTAATATCTGTGCCGCGACCCACCCCACACCCCCTCGCCTACTCCCGGTACTTGGAGCTCTCTTCGAAATTGCTGATTTATGCTAATTTAAGATAAGGAACATGTTACGAACAATTTCTGGAAGCAAAATGAGACTGTGCTTCTGAAATGGATACTAGAATAATACGAATGTAAGCAAATAAATCTAATATGTCGACATCGATTTTTCTATATTAAAGTAAAAGCCTTTACCCTCATACATGGTTCCAAATTTTGACAAAA